CATGTATATGGTATGATCAAGGGTATTTTACCTCATATTTTACCTCATATTATTTTACCATGTTGGTTAGTTGTTCAGACGATGCCGTTTAACGTATCTAAACCTATCGCATAACTATTCGTAAGTAGATGCTTTCGTTTTTCTCGTACCTTAAGTCGATTTTGTTTCTCCATAGAGCAATGCTATGAAATCATGCGAACATTTTTGACTTGTTGTCACTTAACTAGCATTTGTTTTTCTATTTTGGGACAGCGGATTATAGTTTGTATTTTGTTACAGATGCATTCAGAGTCAACACTTATATATACGTTTAGCAATATCCTTCGTGCATTAACAAACTCTACGTAAAAATCGAATTGAATAGAAAACTGGAAATGAAAGGTGCATAATTATACTAGCTTAGATTTTCTTCATACACGATAGATTGAGCTACTTGAACGTATAATAGTTTTTCAAATCACTTACTGAAATTGGTGATTGTAGCAATTTTGTTACAAAAGCCGACTTTTTTTAATTCAAACATTAATATTACACATTATTGTACGCATTTCCTTCTAAGAGTGATTTTGTGTTCTCTCGTTTTGTCGACAGAATGCTTATAAGCTAATGCCTGTCTTTAGCTTGTCCTTGTTTTTTTTAGTTATCCGACTATTAAGCAAGAAACCGCAGAAAAACCAGTTCTGCATACATAGTGTGGATTTGACCCTCATCAGCGAGAAGTATCCAAATGCCCTATATTTTCTACGCTACTTCCAAATATCTGCTTAAGTACTCTTCACTACGATCTCTTCTGGGCTCGACAAACCGTTCGCGTTTATGCTAGTACATAAATGATCATTTGAGATACATTTGCTAGGAAGTGTAGTCGTTATGACCTATTTATCTGTAAGAAGATGCAAAAGCGCTTTCGTTCGCAAATATGAAATAATAAACTCTCAGGCCAGACAACACAAAATGGCGGATTTCTACATGGCCAATAAGGGTGAGAACTTATTGCACAAGCAGCCGATTTCGTTGGAAGCTAATAATGACGGCTTTTGAATCACGCTTCATGAAATTAGCTTAACAATCTGATCTGCTATTTTGATCCTTTTAGTTGTTGTATTCAATTCAGATTTGGGCGGCCCATTCCGTTTTGCAAACGGCGAGGACAATTACCTTCCGACGTCCGTAGAGACCTTCTTTAGAGATAGTTCTGCTGCTCGCTGTTGTGATTACGCTTCGGACCGACCCCGACTAGGGTCATCTTTAAAAATAAATACAAGTCTCACTGAATTTCATGCAGAGTACTTCATAACATAGCATACGAAAAAATATTTCATAATGCTTCTAAAACGATTTATGGTCTGATCTACTAGTGAATAGTTGTATATTAATTTTCTGTAGAAACACAGATTCCCAATTCTAACGATTGCAGTCTACTGACTGTTTTCCTTCAGAAAGGGTACTAGCTATTATGGAAGTGCGAAAATAGAGATATTTCCATCTTCCAGGTTAAATCATACCCATAGCAGTAACTAAAATAAATATTACAAAATGACTTATACACATAAATAAAAAAAATATGGCAGTAAACTCTCAATAGAAATTTTAGAACACCTTTATAAATCGCTTAGATTTGTTTATTTTTTTTCCTTTTCTTTTATAATCGTTGCAGGCTCAAGCACATCTTGCACACATTCTTGATTCTAATCTATATGAAACTACCTAGTTATAGAAGAATCCCAATTGAATCGAAAACTTTGTATTTACGCTGGATTCTTACCTATTGGCGTGATAGCGAGGTACACCGCATGCGATGACGATCAAAACATAACCTGACTCCAACAATCGCTGCTCGACTACTGAGTGCAAATATCGTATTCGACGTTTCAGAAGTACGGTTGGCAACTACGAGCAGGATATCTAGACAGAAAATGTTATCAGTGTTTCGCGTTTTTACAAAAGCTTACAGCACTCGTCGGGTGGTCGTAACTGGGTTGGGCGCCGTCACCCCATTGGGGGTCACAGTTCCCGCAACATGGACGGCGCTATTGGAAGGCCGTTCTGGCGTGACAAATACACCGAGTGACAAGGTCTTTCAAGTGAGTCTCTCCTATGCATGATAAAATGTGAAAAGCTTGTTTTTAGCTCAATGAAGATGTTACATATTGGCATTGTTGTCAGACTATACTCGAAGTATACTGTGTGTAAATCCGTACATTTTCAGATGCTTATTTTATTATATTTTTCCGTGTAACTATAAATGAATTTTTTGTAATCCGCTTTTTGTCAGGTAAGTTTGAATAGGCCGAAGGAGGACCTATAAAGTGGACACTGATATTTTTGCTACAAGTGGGCAATGCAACCTGATGGTCGTTTTAGCACTGTTAGGATGGGCTTTCAAAAGGTTTATGTATCAGAAAGAAGGAAACCCGAAATATCCGTTTTGTCCTATGAAATCTATGGCACTTCTATGGACTTTGAAGGTTTCAGATACGCCATTTCGACTTCGATTAGCTACACATATTATCAAACGTGTTTAAGGACGACTCTCAAAGTACGTTTAACAAAAACATTTTCGAACTAACCTCTAACTCTTCGAGTATATTAATTTCATCCTCACAGGCAAAAATATGGGATAGCGGAAATCTGGGGCACGCAGCCTCAAGTTTGCAAGTGCAACATTTAAGCTTTATGATGCTCGAATCTGCCTGTTTATCATTCACTGCAATATTGTTCGAGTGCGATTAGGATTCTATTATAATGCTATAAGTTGGATTTATATGCTTGACGAATACTTCGAATAAACCCGCAATTAGACTTATCCATTATCTAAGACTTTTTAGACTGCTCGACAATTTACTTTGTGTAATTTTATGTGACCCACATGGTAGTCGGCTTCAATTATAACAAATAATGCTAGGAAAATTATATGATAGGTAAGCCTGACTCTTAGCTACGGTTCAAGTGCATTAAGACCTTTATATACGAAATGACGCTTGCCAAAACTTTTTTACCCGGTTTCTAGGCTTCCTTCGTAAGTGTTACTAATCACCCACAGCAATAATTTTTACAGTGAACAAATGCGACGACACACATCTATGCTCGAGTACCGTGGCTATAAGGTGCAATTCATCATTTCGTTGAACTTTCTAAAAAAACCTCTCTAACTAGCAATATCAGAAAAAAACATTTTTAAGGCCTAAGGAATACTAGATGACACGGGTCTACAGAGGCCTTTTTTGGCATGTCTTCCTAACGCATTTTTTATCACAGGACTTGCCTTGTCGCGTGGGTGCTTTCGTGAATGCACCAGATTTGGCTACCCCAGTCTTCGAACCTATGAACGTCGTAAATTTCTCTGAGGTACGAACATTTAGCTCAGCAACAATTTACGCACTTCAGGCTGCGAAGGAAGCGTTACAGGTGCGTTAAGTAGCTGTACATTGTCGTATCTTTCTCTGGCTGTTTATGAAATCGACGATTCGAGGGTGCCACATCAATGGCATAGTTAAATATGCTATTCAGTAACCACTATATTCGACAAAAAACCTGTATATATCTATTACATATGATGATTACGTTGAGCATCAACTCGGCAATTCTTGGCACGCTTGATCTAAAGATTCGAACATGCCCGAATGTAGATAAGATGTGAAAATATTCTGTACGAAAAAAGCTGTACGAGAGTTTTTTGTCGTTGTGCAATGCTGGTTGATGATGGGCGTGACCTGTTATAGTTATGATCGTTTCAACAAAGTAGTTATAGCTTCGAAGAAATATGAATGGAAACAGTGACATTGGCGCTATACAAATCAATGGATTTGCGCATCGGGACTCTATATTAAGGCTTTTGTTGTCGGTAAAAAATGTTAATGTTATTGATGTCGTCAGAGAGCACCATCCACAGATTATGCCTACAGCCGCGCGGAGGGTGAGCGCGCACCCAATCTTGAAAGTAAAATGAATTCGGTAAATTGCAGTGGGTTTGCTGGTAGTGTGAAGTTGTCTTGCAAAGGTATAGCAATGCGTGGTCGACAAGGCGGCCACACTAAATGGATTCAACTCACCCGTCAGTGGTTGAGGGGTGCTGCGAAGGGAGTGTCACGTCCCTAGCATGCAGATTTACCGAGCTTTCTGCCATAGTCGGATCCCAGGTCACTTCGTTTTATTGTCGTAACGCGCATATGTGAAGAGTCGCACACCGATGTGACGAGTTGTGGCTAAGATTCTCCCAACTGCTCTCTTTGCGTGAACATTATGATGGTAGTAGCTCATATCCTACGCACAAATATTAGCCTTTGCTGCTGCCTTAGGATACTAAAACGAACCTACAAAAATTACCAGAGAGATTTCTTAAGCGTAATGTATTTTCCGTCACAGAAATTTGTTAGGTTTTTGTCTAGAAATAGTTATAGTTGTGTAACACTCTCCTAATTTACTTTCCCTATACTAAAGCTAAATAAGAAAATATTTCGTCGATTAAACAAACTAAGTTATTCGGAATTTGTATTGCAGAGATGCTTATATGCAAATGCCGTAAGAGAAAGTTTATATTATCTAGATCACCCGTATTCGGATAAATTAGTAAAATTTAATCATATAACCTGGTTCAGCAGAGCGGTCATATAGTGATTAATTAGAGTCGTATTGTTGCAGGATGCCAAATGGGAACCATCGTCGTTAGATGAGGGTGGCGATCGTACGGGTGTAGCGATTGGCATGGCTATAACCGATTTAGAATATATCATTGACACTGGAACCGCGTTTCGGACAGAAGGGTACAAAAAAGTAGGTGTAACGGGAGAAAGACTTGAGAGGCATTATTAAGTTGTATATTTCCTTTCTCTTTGAGTCCCTTAAGGTAAGACTTGCACTTTCTGTTTAGTACAATGTGAATAGAATGCTAACATGCAAATAGCTAACATTAATTCAGCAAAGTAGATATTTCACCGTCCCTTTTGCGTTCTGGTACAACGAATGAAGTGAAAACCAAGAGCTACTACACTAACATGCCCTCTACAAATCACATTTTCGAAACGAGTCAAGAGTACTGCTTGCGAATTATGTTTGTGTGTCAATTTTTGAAAATGCGTGGGCAGGTAACAATGTGTTATTCGTAGCGTTGCAGAAGTGCAAATGGAACGACCAGTCACATCAGCATAAATTATTGCCCATTAATAAGATATCACTTTACAATATTTAGCTCTTTTTCTCAAGCATTTAGCTCTCTACTAGAACATTATTAGTTGGTAGATTCCGATGTTGTAAATTGTTAGAAAAAGCCAGTTCTATTAGGCTGAACATTTTTGAATTTCGCCTATGTGATAGGATATTCAAGTTTACGGTAATGCCTTCTTATTTGCACTGTATGAAGAGCAAAGATGAAGGAATCACGAAATCACATGAACTTATAATACCAATATGGTTATGGATATATTGGTTGCCAACTCAATATTACTCCTCTTCGGTAAACAAATGGTTTGTAAAATAATTTTAGAGGGTAGACATTCTCCTTACGGGGCCTCCCAAAAGTGTGCGAATAGAATTACGACAAAGGGATTAACAAAAGGAAGCTTCCCAGTAGTAATGCGAATCTAATAGCTAACCTTTGATGGATTTAAAACTGCCATCAGTACAGTGTAACCATAGTGAAAGTGCCTTTTTAGTGATTTAATTACTTCTTTATAGCAGAGAAAAAACATGGAAAGAATTTCTGATTCTATGGAAAAAAGCATGAGATTAGGTAGACTTGACTGAACGAGGAAAACATTATGAATATGATACGGTTTTATTTCCAGAATATACTGCTCACACTAGTTATGTTTGTTGGCTATAATAAGCACAGAATTTGCAGTTCTGGTCTAACGCTGAAACTACTTTGTTCAGCATGCAAGTAGCCCAAAACCATCATTGCCGATAGACGGATTTTTGAAGAAGCCGGTGTTGACCATTAATCGGAAAATCGCTCTAATTCATAGTTCAGAGGAGCTGAAATATACCACAATACGCGGCACTAAGTACTTTGGTTTGATGATCTTCTGTCATCATGATGGATAGCGAAGAAAGGTTTTACCACACATTCAATGCCACAAATTGAGATCTGTTAGAATCAAATATGTAAAATTGTGCGTTCAGCCTCCAGTGTAGTTTGATATCACTCTATCCGTAAAAATCCTAATGTAACTTCGTAAAGGCATTCTAAAGATTAGTGATTGTGTCTTGAAAGGTTCACCTTAAAAAAGAGCTTAGTTATTTTCACCGAGGATCTCAACAAAGTTCCCTTCTCGCCGTTTGAGCGCAACTTAATTTTGAGCTCACTCCAATGATTCTGTCTACGTTTTACATTACCCTGCACAGCAACTCACGTTGTTAAATTATGTTTCCAATTAGTTTGTGCGTTCTCAATCGTGCCGCTGTTCTTTTCTGTGTCCTTTCTTATGTCATAGGTGTCACCATTTTTCGTGCCTCGAATACTGACTAATATGGCCTCAGGAGCAATCAGCCTTCGGTACCGTTTTCGAGGCCCTAATCATTCTGTGGCTACAGCGTGCGCTACTGGCATTAATGCAATCGGCGACGCTTTTCAGTTCATACGATACGGTGAGGCCTTATATGGTACCAACGCTTCTCACAGACTTTGCTGAACTAACAGAATGGCATTCATTAGGTGTAGTTCAAAATGTCTTTCATTCTTCGTGACGGGAAATCTAAGTGGAAATAACAGTATGTTCAAAGAAACGGTAGAGAACCTATGGCGTGTTCCTCACGGTGAATCGTTGACCAGCGTGAAGATGATCACGCAGATTCTGTGTTCACTATACTTAAAATGTACCTTTGTCTCGTAATAAACAGCGCAACTATTCTGACTACTCGCAAAAGGTACAAAAAAGTTTAAGACTGTATACAAGTATCTATATCATCTTTCTAATACTCGTGGATTTTCCTTATGTTTGGGTGTTTGAAATATGTGCAGGATATATTATGTACAGTACTATGTACGAACAGAAGTACATAGATGTATATTGTTGTCGAGTTAGGTAAGACAACTGAAAATTGATTTAAAGGTCATTACTATGTATGAGTTGATCAATTCGTCAAAACTGGGCAACACAAACATAAACAAGGCAAAAGGCATCGCCACAAATCACCTCGAATTGCTCTGTCTAGAGCATCGACTCTGACACAAATAGCATAAATCTGATTTCCTGTTTTTTTTATAAGCATGAAAATATGTTCACTATTTCAGATGTGTTAGCCTTTGGGCGGTTTATACAAATTCAATTGTTCATCAATTTACTAGCTCTTGTGTTTTTCCATCGTCTTTAGAGAACGGAACTAACGACTCGTAAAACATTTTAGCATATACACAAGTAAGACTCCCTAACCGTGTCCCTGTGCGAGACCTTGGGTATTTTTTGGGATTTTAACATTTTAGGACAAAGACCGTTGAAAAGAAAGCTGCGGCTGCTTTCGAATCTTACTGCTGTTTCATGTATTTTTTTACCTTTCTACGTAAATAGTAAACGGATATCTTCAAATTACTTATGAGTTGTCTGAGTAGATATGATATCGCCGCAATATTAACCTTCCTATATGATTAACACAATTACCTGCCGTATGAGCGGCTGGCTCATCGCAAAAGATAACCCCGAACCGAAGCTACAGTATGACCGCTTCACTACCTTTATAGTTAACCGTTCGTCAAAGACTAGCTCTGCTGTTACAATTAATGGCAATATAAATGTTGAAGACAGACCGTGTGAAAGGAATAGTGCTAATGTGCTATTTAGGTATCTTGTGCCATTGAAGGATTTTTACGTAATTGGATGTGTGACAGTTGTATACTTTTATGACTCGCTGAGGAACAAGTGGAGAATATCTGTATTTTTTCAACCTACGAAGCCTTATTGAAAGTAATAACGTGCTACCGATTTTACATGCTAATGGTAGTACTCATTATTATGTTTTTATTTCGACTCATAGTCTGGTATAATTTTTTTAGAAATCAGCATTCACATGTTTTATATCAATTAAGCTATTCCCTGTTTTCCCACGCCTAAATGCGTGCCATATAAATTACATTGTTTTGGTCGATAAGTAAGGTCATTTTCAAACCTTTTTAAACCCCGCCAAGGTGTTACATCAAGCCGTTGAATCCGAGCGCCTTCAAAGATCTAAAACATAATATCGCATGGACGTACCTAATGAATGATGTAATCCAGTTACTCGTGGTGATTTTGCAAATCAAAACACCTGACAACTTTTTTTTTACATCTCTTAAACACTTTTTGCAGTCGTCGTTTCAACTGCGAGGACTTATGTATAGACACTTAGACGGTATCTTTATTCACATTAGATGTAGTTCGTTGTAGCAGATTATTTTTATACGCCGAGATCTGTAGCTTCATCTTCAGTTATCCGTCCTCCAGCCTGTCTACTGTAGGAACGACCTCGCTTCATATTCTCTACGATCCACACACTAAACATAAACAAACAAACGTGCATTGGATAGTATAGGGGCGTTCGTGTTCATATATATGCGCTTATACACCTATTTTATCCACGTACGTATGTATAGATCGATCTAAACATGCCAATGCGCGCTTTTTGTTTTGCTTATCTGCAACAAATGGTAATTTGTTTGATTTTATTCGATGATCTGAAGCAGCTGCTACTGCTGCTCCCATCTGCTTGTCTTTCCCGCTTTCTCCGGTGTCGTTTGTCGTTGTTGCATCGACGACCGTTCGATTAAGTTGGCCCATCTCTTCGATTAGGAACAACGCGCCACAAGACCTTAGCACTCCCCCGTAGTCCCTTTCCAGTAGGAGCAGGCGATTTAACCATTCAGCCACGAGGCCAGCCATTAGCATGGGCCATTTGCCAAAACCCTTAGCGTTATTCGGTACAACCAACCCTCTTCTACTATTCCTCTAATCCCTCACTGTGTTTCCTTTGTTGCGTCATTGCTGACGGTCAACGGATTCGCCTGATACTATTGGCGCTCCCACCGCAACTGCTGCCGCAGCTGACCGTCAGCGCTAGCTCTTACGGGACCAAAAAACTGACGACCAGAATTGGTTGGCTATCGCCAATCTTGTCGGGCTTTATTTGGGGTTTCGCACGCCGCAGGCCTTTGCCGAGTGGGCACACGCCCGCGGAGGCAATGCGGGGGGTGCGGTCGAGGTTGGTTTGTCGTCACGGTCGCCAGCGACACCGCTGCCACTCTATAGGGGAACGCTCTTGGCAGGGGGAAGATTATCGTTAGCTGAGGCAGTGAGTATGACGAGGGAACTGGCGATACTTAGCATAGAGACGTTGCCAGCTAAAGTCTCGGCAGGATCCTTTGTCCTGTGAAGTGAGGTTGAGCCGAATTCCGTTCCGTTCGTCGCAGCTGGCTCGCTCACTTGATTGGTGAATGAGAATCAGAACGTCTGGGTCAGGGGCCCAGAAGCAACGGATCGATCTCATTTGTCGAGAAGAGAGCTTTGGAGGGCCCGCCAAATGTGCTGCCAGCGCTTTTGCTATTACTTTTGTATCTATGGACCTTCTCCTATTTGAGTGAATGACTCTATAGAACAGTATATTGTGTGGACTGTGCAGAGTGACGGCAGACGTTAAAGGACGAGTTTGGGTACAAAGTATTGACACATACAAACATTTTCGTAGTAGGCAACGGAAACAGGAAGCGAGAGACGGATAGTGGAATATAGGCATATACACATTAAAAAAACGATGGGCGAACGACTAAATGAAGCAACAGTAGACAGCCTTACGCAAAGGTAGACGTGTGAATGGACGAGCAGATGTCACTGGTAGCTAGGGACGAAAAGCACCAGTAATAAAGCAGTAGCGAAGATTTATCGAAATTGCAAGGCTCCTTTTTTTGAGAAACTAAGGCAATATTGAGTGGCGGAAACAAGATGATAGAGCACTAGGGCAGAGGGAAGCCTGACAGACCAAAAGTTAGAAATTCCTAATCTATGCGCAATTTGCAAGTGGGACGATCCTTCTGGGTGCGGCTGGTTATTCATCCGCTGCTATCGCACTTAAATAATAATAATTTCACCGGAATCAGGTCGTCGTCAGATGACATCATCCACATTCAAGGTGTAAGGGAGTTCTGTAAGGACATGTACAGCGGCGGAATGAAGACGAAACCTAGGCAATGTCACTGTTACAAATGGGCGATGTTTACGTGTTGTGCGTGATCGTTACTCTTGTCTTTTATATCGAATGATACTAACCGTTTCTCAGGTATTAATCATTAAATAGACGGAATTAGTGCTTTTCTTGGAGTTTGAAAGGAGACCGATGTGTGCTACATATTTTAGTAATAATTATAAGACCAGTATGAGCAACCAATTATAGTACTAATTATGTGACCATTACGGAATATGGTTACGTCTCCTAGATCAAGTCAGGAACAGGCGAGACCGGGTAAGACCTGGAAACAAACTGCGTAAATAGTTTTTTTTCGTAGCAAATACATTGCCATATAAGATCATTATTATTGCCATAAATTTATTCGGACTAATAAAATTTAGTAATTATTTATAAATACACTTACTAATAAATTTAGTAAGTACTATCATTGGCAGTTGCCAAATTGCTATCGTTATGATTCAAGCCGTTAAATAATTGAAAGCAAGTATGGTGGAAGTGTGTTATCTTTTTGGCTCAGGTGTTTTGTATTTTTTCAGACTTAAGTTACACAATGCACTAAGAGTTCTCCACAGTATTGGACAGCAGAGGATCTGTTTTTTACGTTCTGGTCGATATGGTATTACGACGAAGGATATTTTGCTTTCGTATATCGGCATGTCTTATTGTCATAATAACCATGTCTAGAAGGCTATATCATCTAGTCCATTATACAACAAAAAACGGTTATCAGACTTGATGTATCATCTGTACAATATTAAATATTATGACAAGAGGCCAAATACGATGCTGTATCAATTCATTGAGTGCGTGTCTACTAGACTTGGGACACATATTACGACATACTAGTGCAATAATACAAGATGATAAGTAGCAACAGCGTCATCTAGGCGACATAACTGAAGTTCAAAACATAAACAAGGTTTGAAATTGCATCTACAGTTCAATCTGTCTTGCAAAACATTCTCATACGGATGTTCGCGCGAACATTTTTCATTTGTTTTATTTACAGGCAAAGCAGATGTTATGGTATGTGGTGGGACGGAGGGCCTGATTTCGCCTTTAAGCATTGCCGGTTTCAGCCGAATGCGTGCTCTCAGCACGAAATTTAACAGCGAACCGAGTAGAGCGTCTCGGCCATTCGAAAAACACCGCGACGGGTTTGTCATTGGTGAGGGTTCAGCAGTGATAGTTCTCGAGGAGTTGGAGCACGCCAGAAAGCGGAATGCTCGTATCTACGCGGAGATACTGGGTTATGGATTAGCCGCGGACGCTTACCACATTACAGCTGCGTCCGAAGATGGCGCTGGCGCGTATCTGTGCATGCGTGCAGCTCTCCGTGACGCCGGTATCCGGCCAGAGGACGTGGGCCATATCAATGTGCACGCGACTTCGACGCCAATCGGTGATGTCGCTGAGGTAGTAGCCATGAAAAGGCTCTTTGAATACGGTAAAAATTTCCCTAATGACAGGCAGTTGCCGCTAGTTTGCGCCACCAAGTCGAGTACAGGGCATCTGCTTGGAGCGGCTGGAGCTATCGAAACGGTATTTACTATACTCGCCGTCGACAATGGGGAGATTCCGCCCACTTTAAACTTCGAGGAGCCCGATGACAAATGTATCGGCCTTCAAGTATCATCCACTAAAACGAAATGGGACCAGCGGGGCAGAAGAGTGGCGCTCAATAACTCGTTTGGGTTCGGTGGGACGAATGCGACCCTTGTTATAGCTCAATGTAAATGATACCACATAGACATTGAAAATCTAGGGTGTTAGTGTAGAACCGATCAGAAATAATGCTTTTATATTTTGTTGTGAAATATTCAACGCTTTAAAACGCAGCTTTCGGTGAATATATCTGAAACATCATTCTTTAGCTACTCTGTTATATTGATGTGCATGAAAATAAAAGCTGATCAATGGACCGATAGTTGAACAGATGCCTTTATTTTATATAAACAGACATTTTGTCGAGCTTTGGTTCCCTCAATGATAAAAACCATACATTTGGCGAATTATCATGCAGTGTTTTAGCTGACTCTGTTTTTATGAGGTGGAAAGCTTGATTTGCATGATTTGATATATTAAGGTGTACCAGGGTAAAAAGATTCGATTCCTCAATCGAATTTGATGTCTGAAGGGTATAGGGAACAATCTTGGGTGAATTTCCGATTTTTCGCTGCACGAGTCCCATGGGCCAGCCGACCGTCTGAATGATCCTCGAAAATATATACAGCAAAAACACGTACGGGAAGCTGGTTGCTCCCTGCAACAAGCAGCAGAAAACCTGATTAACGTTAATAACCGTTTTGAGCGCGCATGCAGCTACCTTAACTAGTAGTTGAAACAGAAAAATAGTAGCGAGGCCAAAGGTGTTGCCATCGTTGCGGTACAAACGAGTGACCGAACAACTCGACCTCGCAGACCTTTGACTCTGACTAATTGCCTATAGGGTGGTAACTGAAGAATGACGGCCCCTGTAGTAACGGTGAAACGACAAAGACAATGGCGACAAGAAGCACCCGACCACCGTTGTTACAGGGTGTGATCTACTGGGTTCTGGCCTTCACTCTCGCCGGTACAACGGAGTGATTACGGAGGAGAAAAAACGAAAAAGCAAAAGATTCGTGCAAAAATAGTTGCTGCCTTTTCCTTCATTCATCCGCACTTGTCTATATTGCGCCCTTCCGGAGCGGCAGAACCCTATAAACCACCTCCACAGCGTCTTGCGTCTCTTCGACGTTTGTTCGAGCTTGCAACCAAAAAAAGCTTCTTTCGTCACTTTACCATGAAGCAACAGACGTATGGGCATCTGCATTGGCGGGAGCGGTTGCTGTCATCGCTGCAACTGTACCCGAGCAATGCAAATCGCTCGAATAGAAAGGCTGAGCAAATGTTAGCGGAGCAAACAACCAGGTTGGGCAACTGAGGTAATTGGGTCGAATTCTGGCGCCAGCAGCAAACGCCTCTATAAAACCCATAAATGCTAGGTAGATAGCTAGCTACAGCCCACCGCGAGGGCACTGTTCGAGCGCGGCATATACATAACATATTCATACATTTAGTATGGAGATAGATGATGATGACGGCGATGGCAGCAGGTGGCCGAGGCTGCGTCGAGGACTACAGCCTGGGCGGACAGTTGTTCGTAGGAACCAACTGCTGTTTATGCGGCGGCTGTTGTAACTGCTCAAACAGCTTCTAGCTTTGCTGTCTTTTCTGCTTCTTCTGTGTATTACCAGTGCAGGTGTCGCCCCAACTACCTTTGCTTGCGCTTCTGTAGAGTATCGATCATCTGTACGGCGTTAACCTATCGCTGTAACGTTATCCTAACACTTCACAAAGGGCATTAGAACTTAGAGCGGAGACTCGTCAACCTGCCTACTACGCGCATTTATAATACCGTACACACCGCCGTAATAAGAGAAATGGTGGTATTAGTTTTGGTGATGGAAACCCTGATGATGGACATGCTTGAATACTAACGAGTATGGGAGTGATGATATTTGTACTACTTTGATTTTGCGATACGTTCCCGGTACACAATATGAAAGAACGAAACGTGGCTGCATGATAAGTTCTTTGCCTCATTGTTCTTTTTTTTTATTACTTCTGTCTCGGATGAGGTAATTATTATTGCGAACTATCGTTAATAGACGATCACACAATGCAGGATCTTTTCAGCGGGTAGTTTTACTGTCCATTTATAGATAACTTTGTCCGTTGTATCCAGTTTATCGGTCTCGACACTCCAAATGCTTTCTTTAAGTTTTTTGAAATGTTGTTTTTCAGAAAAATAAATTTCAGTGCAAACATTCGGGGTTGTGAATACAGTACTTTGTTTGTTTGGTTCCTACCTGTCCCGTTAGTATTAAGTTTGTATATGTATGTACGGAGCCTATTTGAAATTGGGCTACATTAACCACCATCGGACAGGACGCATAGCGCATATGTTAACCTCTGCTCCTATGAGCGTCGGAAGAGCGTCGAATGAGGTATTTCTGCAGTGCTTAATATTAGCAAATGAGCTTTTTTTTTATTTATTTCATATGACTTTAGCAAAGATGGAACAAAATGTTGCTTATTCAATAAGTAATTCATATTAAATCAGTGTGAGAACATATTTCTGGTAATTTTTTCACAATTTGGCGCGCTGCCCACGGGGCCCCGGAGCAATACAGCATTTGGTATGGTAAACATCGGCTACTGAAACCTAATTTTTCGAAAGTACAAAGTTGTATTTTAGTCTTGACTGAAATCGGTAAATCTGAACACAAATGATGTAGATGATTGGTGGTCACCAGTATGACCGTTCTATTAAAATTTAAGGCACATACAAGAAGAGTATGCAGCGAGAATATGTGTTAATTTAGCTAAAAAAAGCTAAAGCACACGATAGAAACAAGCAGGAAGTAGAATTGTGACAGCACCACTATGTATTTGTGTATCTATAAAGTAGTCCTCTAAATTCGTTTGTTGTTTATGTATATATAGCAAACATATATAGGCGAATCGATTGTTAAATAAATAGTCGACAACTAGCGGTTGTCTGTGGATAAAAAACTATTATATTCAAATTTTCCTATTAATCATATAATCGTCATTTTATGGATTGTACTAATCATCTACCATTGTGAGGAACAAATAACTATCGTGCGCTGCCAGAGATGCCAATGGAACCATTGGTATAAGCTCAGGTGTACGCGCGTTCCTCATCTGAAACCATTATATTCATCACATATATTTAACACACTGAACTTGTTTTCGAATCCCGATAAGCACTAGCATATTGTTATAAGAGATCGACATTATTATACGGTGTCATCATCGCGGTAGAAGTTTAAAGTTAGAGTTTCTCAGTCAGAACAGAGAAACAGAGAAATGAGATGAAACGCGCCCTGCGAAAATATGGCGATTTGTAGGACGCGAGCATATGCGACGTCATCCTGTTCTCCTATCTCGGAGTCCTTTTCCGAGTCAAGCGGGTTTGTATAATGTAACAGTATCAGTAGTGAACGTAGATTATTTAGTATCGCTAACGTATCTGCTAGAAAATTGTGTCATTTGAAACAACTGTTTCGGCAAAAGGAGAGCAGTCTCTCGGCGATTCGTCGCTAAAAGCAAGGGCTTTAGATATGAGCTACATACGGTACTTAAGAAATGGGAAAACTAGCTAAAATAGTCACTCATAACATAATAACGGAAGTAGAAGTGGCAACAGTGCTACGTATGTCGTGTAGAGGCGGATTTAACGCAACGCGTAAAGGCTTTTTTATGGAGAACAAAGTCAGCAGTACTTAAAAATTCCCATTTTCGATTGGCGCATATATTTACAAACAAAATAGAACATGTATTTGAATAATTCGTCAGTATTTGGATCACAAATCTTCAACCAAATTCTTCATAACCCGCTTGTCAAAGGAATGATGTTTTAACGGACTTAGTCCGCCAATTCCTCATTTGCGAATCTCGTTCGCAGGGCTCATTTAGGCTCGTCAGGCTCTACCGGAGTGTTACAATGAATGGATTGGCCATTGTAGAGAGTTGCTGACTGGCGAAGGGATAAATGTCCATACGCTTTTGCCTCATCAAACTAGTCAGGTCGATGTCAATACATTTATATTGCTCTATAGGCTATTTAGAATAATGTCGAAAATATCCTTAGCATAAACGGTTGTCCAACCAGTGAAAAAAGGCATTATTTTTTTATTCTAAAGCTTGCATTATCATCCGTAATGTATTTTTGCTTCCTAACAGGAGATAACTCTTTTATCACGCCGGGGGAAATAAGGTTATTTACTAAGCCTCATTGGACATGCACACATGTATGTGTGCCAGAATAGATCCACTTGGTTCGTCTATCCGTAGCGTCCCTTCATCCAGAGGGCCATTCGCGTATCCGTTCGCTACCACGTCAACCCGAACATAACTTACTAGGCCTTCTACAACGGAAAGGTCATTTTTTACTGTGAGCCCCTCGGTTCAACTGGTGACAGGTTGCTCTCTCAATGTGCCCGATGGCGGTCTCGTTCAGCAGCTGTCGATCAGGCCCCAACAGTGCAGATCTACCAGTTATCATGGTTTCACTTTGACTGCTAATAGTATTACTATTTCAGTGCCGTAACAGGGCGAAGAGACCGGAATAAGTGGACTGGGGTGCACTGTGCGCTTCCGCTTGTGTAACATTTCGTGTCAGCATTTCAAAACCGTCAAGCTAAGGTGGTAAAATATATGGTACGACCGTAAAAAATCTGCGCTGTTGGGCGAACAGAGGGAGTGAAACCAAGTTCCGTGTAGGTCATGCTGAATGCCCCAGGGAAGTCTTACGTCAACAATCGGCTGTTACAGTTAAGGGTACCTTTCGTTGTACAGTATTTAGCACTTTGGAAACGAGACCTCACATTGCGACTCGTTTTTTTACGCTCAACCGTCGTCTCATGATCTTTGGCCCTACTTACTTTATACAAATGTTTTACCGGCACATATTTAGATAAACTAATTTGTATTTTACTTCGATTGGGATACCGTACTAAGTACAATATGTTAGTCTGTACAGCTGGAGCCCCACACCTATAGGCTTGATGTCCCGTATATGAGGATATGAGGTCGTTCGAAATCGACAAGCCTGTGGCGCTTCCGATTTGGGAAGTTCAAGCAACCTGCTCTGAGATACAAATGAGCAGTCGACTTCATATTACGCGTGTGTCACTGTTTTCGACAACCGCTGAATTGAAGATACTGAAATTATCTTTGAGCTAGGAATAAGGCTTAATGCAAATATAATTGCCTTACCGATCAAAACTTTGTTTGTATAATTACAGTTTAAAAGCCATCCATTTAGTGCACTATCGGATTGACGGATCTAGAGCAGAAAGCAATAGATAATAAATGAAGATCCAATCGAAACGTATTATAATAGAACATAGGTTGTTGTCGAACAATCTTAACGTTTATGGTACAGGCGAAATAGCATACGACCTAAGCTTCACTAGGTAGGCCATAAATCAGGTTTCGCCCTTTTTGGCAGCAGTTAGACGCTATAATTGTTTCATTCTATAGCAACGTGCATGGTCTCTCGATGCGTACATAATAATCGTACGATTCGTATTTTTCAATTAAAAAACCGAAAGTAAGTCATCAGTCCATGAGCCACTTTGCCTTCTGTGAATTTCTTTAGTAGAAAAGTGAAAATAATTTCTGCAAAAACCTGACCAAAACATAAAGGCCAGTGGTGTATGCGAAGAGAGAAAGGTTTTCGCAAAGATTCGACCTGTATTTGGTTTTTCAGAATTGAACTCCATATTTAAATCCTTGTCTATGGTTTTCGTACGACAGAATGTCTAGCCTTTGTCTTCAGAGTGGGTTGAGCTAACTTATAAAATGCGTTCGAAGACTCGTTGTTACATTAGTTAGTCTACAGTGACATCTTACGTAAGAACTACATCGAAAATACAACGATCTGAACCCTTATGCAATCGTTAAATGCGGCTCCTAGATGTTTAATACATCCTGGTTTGCTTGAACGTTACTAATTCGTTGAAACGAGCAGAGCTGATGCGGTGAATAGCAAAATTGTAAACGAATAATAATAATAACATGAACGATCGGTTAGAAGGCTTTGCTAGATTAAGCCGGTAGCACCCGAAAAGGTCTCAGGGATACTCTACACCAAAGATATAATGATTTGCTTTTCTTTTCGATAAAACCATAAAAAAATAATAGAGTTACTGAGAAAAGTTATGCATATTGCACTTTGGACGCCATCCCCTTCAATATACAAACTTTACTTATGTATTTGGCAAACAAAATAGCCGAGTAGAAGCGAAATCATTAGTAGGACTTCGTTTATGAGTTATCTAATTTGAGTTCTACCTAATCTATATTCGTTAGGTGGTAAATATTTGTGTTTGTCTCTTTGCTTTTTTATCGCCCTTTTAAAGTGGGCGAGTTGGGTTGATTTTTTCTGGCTCACTAGAGCTTCATTATGGAAAAACCTGCAACTTATTTTCCATTTTCTACGTTTCGATACAACGGCACACTACCGCTTATAAAGACGAAGACGGCCATCACGCCGATATATCATTAGATGATAGTGTTACGTGAATCAGTGTGTCTAAGATGCATTACAGGGCAAACTCTATTTAAAACTATATTGTGGAGGACGATATTATGTTATATCTATTGCCGCAGAGCTGACCGCCATTCGACGTTACTTACAAACATGGTTAATCTTTTATATCTACAGAGGTGAAATAAAATTTGCTGAAAAGCAAAAGAGGTACGGAATGAAGTGCGCAGTTTGCGCTCCAGTGAAAGGACTGCGTAGAAATACAGAAGCCTGAGACACCAGATTATGCGATAAACGAGAACAGGTATTTCAAAAGGTTTCAACTAAGTCCAAGCTTGTCGACAAAAAATAGAAAAAAAGGAAGGAAACAGTTATTCCCCGTGGAAATCGCAACCCACTCCCTGTACAAATCGAATGTAATGAGAAACTGACCCAAATGTACGGTCTGTTTAAACAAGACAAACATACAATAAATAGCACATAAAAAAAATTGCCCATCCTGTATCCTCCATTCCATTCGTGCGTACGCATGCATATATATATCTTTGCTCTCAAATGTCCTCATGCCATTTCCTTCTGTCATCTTTTTGATACCGCTGTGTGTCCTCTCCTTAGTTCGGCCGATCGTTGCATTTCCCGTTGGCGAGAAAAGTACGTCCGTGAGCCATGTCTGCTTTGTTCCTTTTCGTACTCTGGCCTCATCCTCAACACGGCCTCCTTCTCCCCTTTCCGTGGTCTCGCCACTAGCGCCAGCGAGTTCCCTCTTTCCCAAAACCCTCGCCAGTCCCCTGAACATGTTGTTGATGCTGTTCATGTGGCGCGAACCGCGGGGCTGAACGATCGCTAAGGAAGTCAGATGAAAGTAGCTTACCACCGGTGTTGCAGTGTTGACAGTTAGCTGCCTGTGGCGTAAGTAAAAGCGCGTGTCGAGTGCGCAGCAGGTGCGCTACTGAGCTTATGATAATCAGTGAGAAATAGAGTACTCTACCTTGTTTTTGACATTAAGCCGTTCTAATGGATAACTAACAAATAGTGGGTGCATACGAAAAGCAAATGAGAGACCGAGATTTATGTGGGTGCGTGCGTGCTATACGAAAGTGACGACGACGACAACAACATCATCACTGTTAACAGCACTTGAAACCATGTAATTTTCATGTGAATTACTGCTACCATTAGTAGTGGCACCGCTTCTTTTTCCGATTAGAACAATGAAAGTTTGTCGAGCGGTCCCAGACATCGTTCATAGCTGGCGGAGGTGCCAAGCGTACGTGGCTTGATTCTGTAAAGCTCTGTCGGAAGCTCTGTCTGCTGTGCGGCCAAGTGCCATAATGATAGAAATAGCGGTGGAGAGTTCGACTTGGAAGCTACTTGAACTAGTGCTATAGAAATTATTAGCACAGCATCGAAAATCGTGGTGCCATTGGTGGACAGGATAGGAAGGAGAGTAGCATCTTTGGATAACTGTCCGAGTTGATTTGGATTATATAGAAAATTCATGCGGCAGAACTGTGTTCAAAAACTGTGCGCCAAAACAGCTGTCGCTACTGTCAACTTTACAGATCAGAATAAAAAATGGCTTTTTATTTTAGCCCGCAGGTGATTTGATGAAAACTGTTTGCGGCTCACGTCTTTCTTGGGTGCTGATCTGCGTAATAAGCAGGCCGAGTCGAACTATTTATACCAGTGTAAAGTTCTGAAGCCGCTATCAGACCGCTACGTTCGTGCTCCCTTTGACACCGTTCAAATGTTAGTTGTTAATTTCTTCTGAAGTACACTCTTGTGCAAGTAGTCTGAGGGAAAAAGCGCTGTCATTTTAGCGTACTTTAAACAATGTATGGGGTTGCGCGCGGCAGAGAAGTTCTCAGACAGACTATGGAACAGCAAACGAAGTGGGCCGCAAAGTGGGCTTGCCTAACCGGTGGATGTACTCTCGAGCAGTTGTTCTATCAATACAACCAACGCAAAGCCGCGTCTTTTCGAGCTCCGAGCAGCAGCGGCGACGCTTATCGTGACAGAAGCAGTCTGAAGCTATTAAGGTCGTCTATTTCCAGTAGCAGTGCTGTTTTTGCGACGGTTTCACTTCTACTTCTAATGGCGTCGACTTTGTATATTGGTGGTGTCGAAGCGTCACCCAAGCTGCATCAACTGGAAGGGCCGACATTAGACAGGTACCCGTTAGCTGTTTCTCGCCTATCGAGGCTCCGACGACATAGTGACCAATGTTCAGAGGAATTCTCGATGCGAAAACAGGGTCTTGTCATTCGCAAACAAATGCCGAACGATTGCGAATCCCGATTTCGGACGACGTTGCGTAGTCCCGACGGAAAACGACTCAAGGTGAAGATGGACCACGCGATATTGCTGGGCGAAAAGAATTTTGTACAAATTAATGATGGTCAAACGACGTGGTACATCGACAAAAGCTGCGCCCCTTGTCACGACGAACACATTCAGGGAAGTGTGGTCAGCATCGAGTACCGCATAAGCAATGGCTCTCGTATTCAGTTTCGCTATACAACAAATGAGAACAAATGCCCGTTTCTTACGGTCATGCATCCACTCAAATTTCGGAATAAAACTCAAAATATACGCGACATTGGAGCTGTAAGTTTCTGACGGTAAAATTTTCATGTTTTTTTTCCAGTGGTTTGTTTTTGAGTGTGAGGTTATCGATATCCCTAACGGTTGATTTCAACTTCGTTATCAAATATTGCTCATTTCCTAATTGACTGTCGCCTGTGACTATCAAACTGTGACATGTTATAGCCAAAGCGTTGAAAATTTGGAGTTTTCCGATCCTGCGCGTTACTACCTAAACGACAACGAAGTAGAGTAGCCTTGTACCGTTCTTCAATTCAGGCAATTTAATTGATTATAGCACGTTCGGTGTGTATTTTTTACCTGCAAAACTCAACGTTGAACTTATTTGATCGTAGCTCTCCTTTTGACTTTCTCACGGCGTTTATGCCAGTGTATAACGAGCAAAATAAATAGATTAAACTATGTGCAGCTGAAAAGCCGTCGTAGTCAGCCAGATAAGAAAATATCATTTTGATCGTTCAAGTTTCTCGAACAAAAACCTCGTTCCATGTTTCTCCGTAGTGATATAAAACTGTTGTATGCAATCAAATAAAAATTATCAAATATTAATTACAGTCGACTCTAAAAGGTGATGGCAGTAGAAAAAAAAAGCCGTAACAAGTTCCATGCGCATATAACATACATTGCATGGAAGTAATACGATAACTTTATCGTATTACTTCCATGCAATGTATGTTATATGATCAGATATGCTGTAAGATTATGCCGTTAGCTACGCGTTGTTCTGGTGTCGTACGTGTTATGTTTCGCTCCTTTTATCCCTGAGGCGGATTAGTAGTTAGGGTCGGTATCATTCTGATTAACTGTGGGCGCAACCAGCAGGCAAAGCTGCTACCAATCGAATGATTGGTTTCAACAATCGTTAAAGCTCTTAGATGGCTAAAGTTCATTCTGATTTCGATTATCGAAATGTAAAACAACCGATCACGGTAATAAATCATAGATACCGAGTCCGCAACGTTTACATGGCTCGTTGAGAGGTTAGCATTGTAGGTAAAGCATTTTTAGAGATTCGCTCGGCGTTGGATTTAGCGATACAGAATAAGTTCAGTTAAAGTTCAACTACAAAAAGTAAGTGCTGCTCGTCTTCGTAGAGTTCGTAATGTGGTTTACGATAAGAATGTCCGTTGTTCATGCTGTGCAATGCGAGTGGACGAATCTAATAGTTATCATACTCGTATCTGTGCTCAGCTATGAAAAAGCTATTCGGGCGTTGTGACATTAGTACGCCTCTGGTGATGCCGGTACGCCACTCTTCTAATTGTAAGGCACGATCACTTAATCAGTCTCGGCTCATACCCGATGACCAGAGGTCAGAGATCGCACTGATCATTCTACGTGCCACCAACGCGTTCCCGACAATGTAGGTGGGACCATTGAATGATACGTGAGCCTTTGCTTTTACTGATAACTGTTCTTGTCTCTACTTATTATTATTGCCGGTCTTCGTAGCTCCCTGCACGAGTTCGCACAAGTTGCTGGAAAATAGTGCATACCGATATATTGATTCTGTGCGTTTCTGCGTAGAGGGTCGACGGTTCAGTAGCGGTGTTGTAGAAGCGCCAAAGCAATGGCGTTCCGCTGTAGACATGCCGCGGGCGCGATGTCTAGTACGTATTTTGCCAGACCGACATAACAAGTCAAAGTTACGTTGTCAACTTACGACGTGAAATGGAACTTAACTTATCAATGCAATTTTTTTTTTTAATTACTGCAGATTAGTACCGACTAACGGCCTGTTTGCCCGTATACTATATCTATTTATGAAATAATTAAATATACGTTATTCGATTAAGAAAGAGAAGCAAGGTCCATTCTCATCGTGAGTCAGCAGTGTTGCTTCCTATCCTTATCTTAATTATAGTAAAATTTCTCAACAGCAGCAAAAAGCTACTCTCATTAAGTATGCAATTCTCCTGTTTCGCGATCCTCGAATAGAAACATCGTGAACAACCTGAAATCCTCGAACGAGGATTTATGTGAGGCATTTTCCGCCCCTCATCTCTGTCGTATCTGTGTCGTTTCCCTAGCGCGATTGCTTCTTCTTCTTCGTTTTTAACCTTCCCCCAATAAACTTACATGTGTATTTTTTTTTAATTAGGGGGTTGCCCCCCTAATTAACCCCCCCCCATGTGGGTACTCCCTCGTACACTTTATGTTGCCCGCTATATGGACATTTTGGTATCTTTCGATTCTTCCACTCGGTTTCTCTATCTGAACTGGTTCTCTATCAGGGTCCTTTTTATGATTATATGTGTGGGTGAGGGGGGAAGCAGGCTACTATAGGAGTACGCTTCGCTAGCTAATCCTTTATATAGAAGGCGAAAACTCTACTGAACAAAATGTAGTGCCGGTTGAGTGGACAATGAATTTGCTAAGGTTGGACAGAAGCAGTCGTTTTTCGTGCTGCCGTTGCCGACAAAGCAAATGATCCGTTAGCTGGAGAAGTTATGTATAAGCAGCCACTTTCACTGGATCGGCATGTGCACCGCTAACTTGCTTGCACTACTTCTTGGGTTTAGGTAAATAAGTCAATAAAAATACAGGAAAACCCGCCATATCCGTAGCTGGCGGGCGGCCTATCTTTTTGATTGCGCCATACTGTTTTGTATTGTCCGTTATTTGTTTCGTAACAGGGCTGCTAGCGTCAGTTCGTTGCGTCGCAAAAGCCTCCTGTTCCTGTTGCAGCTGCAAATTGTCACAGTAGAAAAGTCAAACAACAAACCGCAGGCCAGCGGTCTCAGAGATATACTAAAATTGAATACCGCTACACGGATGATAGTGCCAGGAAGACGGGGGGTATGAAAATAGAAGATGTCATCTGGATCTTTTTGATAAAGACTACGGATCCATTTTTAAGTAAAAATGAATAAGATATTTATTAGGTAATAACAAATAGCCACTGTAAAAATGTAATCTAAGTTATATATGTGTGCATACATTCAAAATTATATTAAATTGTATATAATAGTTAGCCTATGTGCATGTACAAGATTGATCAATTGCCACGTTACTCACTCATGTATTACCTTTCTCAAATTTACCTTGCCCCGCGTATTACGGTATGGTGACGCACAACAATTTTTCACGAGATTTCATCTATTTCACGCGTTCGTACTTTCATAAGGCTTAGCTGGCTTCGGTTAAACAATAGATGACTTCGGTACACATCTCTGTGGCGGGAAGTAGTTGCACTTTGCTCCCCAGTTAGAGCGGGCAACGTCATGTGCGTTTACATTCTTGGCACCGTTGCCGCTGCTGTACGTACGTACGTACGTACTGACTAGACAGCAGAGAGTGCCAAAAGCTAACTGGTACAATAGTTTTGCACGTTAATACATGCAGGCGTACAATTGCACGGGAGCTCTGACAGTGGAGCCGATCGAAGCGTTGTTAAACTTACTCAGCACACCATGGATTACTGTCAGATGAAATCAGCAAAAAAGTACCATAAGCAAGCCTAATTGTTAGTTAATGTTCATATACCTACTATTCTATTTCACGCCGATTATAGCTGAGTGGCTTCATTTAATTTAATCGACTTCGTAATAACATAAGCGAAGCACCATGATACATACAGATGTTCATTAAAATAAAAGAGAAGGAACTGTGCGGTCCGCAAAGGCTTGTCAGCGTCCTGAGATAGGTAAAGGGAACAGAGGGGTTCTCGTTAGCTAAATTTTGCCAACAATAGCTAACAGAGGTGGCCCTATCCAATGCGAGATGGGAACGGTCTCATCATGGACGCCAGTCACTTCAAGTGAGCGCGGGTCCTGTTGAAACAAGGCACGGCAAAATGTGGCTCCTGCCACTGCAGTCAAATTGGCTGAAAAGTCTGCGAAGCTATTAATGACATTTGGGCATGTTGTCATGAACGAGCAAGATAATCCATCTTCCTTTACGTAAACTCCTCGAAAACATTGCTCAAGATCTGTCTTGATTTAGCTAACTGCCCTAAAGTAATGGATAGATAGCCAGTTTAGTTAGGTAGTAAGCTCAACCGTAGAGCGCCAAAGGACACCAGAATCAGGGCAAAAGCCCGCAGTAAAGGTTTTATGTATCCCCAGGATTACCAAGAGTCTTTCTCCGGTATAGCTGTGTATGTTTTTTTTTTGTTGACCTACCGTCTGCTGTGTCCAGGTCGAGGGCAATCATTTATATACTGTACCTGTTCTTCTTTTTTATTTTATTGGCTGATCTTTTGGTTTTGGTCGCTTATGAGAGCTTCTAATTTACCAATCTATTTAGAAAAACATTCAAATTCTATTCGAGTGTGGTTGGTTAACGTTAAAAAGTGCCTAGGTCGTTCTGCTTATGCAATTCATCACGCGTCCGAAATGATCTCCTGTTAGATATTCAACTTTATAAACTATTAAACATATTATTTATACTTTACCTTGATTTATTTTATCGCCGCAATTCAATTCTATGTTTTCCTAGACACTTTTAGTTCCTATATATATCTTTGATTACCGTCATATAATTTGTTTTAATGTACGTTGGTCGAATCTTAGCAATTATAGCATTACTTTTCTTCTTATGGCTTTAAGTTGTATTAATGGCCATGAGACCTTCGAAATGTACATGATAACTGCACACTTGACTTCTTTACCATTATTCTTTCTCAATAAGTGGACAAAGCTAATATATATACAAATGTATTATATATATATATATATGTAATTTTTTCGGACGTTTTTGCCGCATATTCGTTTATAAAATACTGCTCAAAGCTTGCCAGCTATTTTGGGTCTTGTGTTACTCGCCGTCACTTGGCACGGTAATGGCAGCGATAGTAAGCGTCTTTGAGCGGTATCTACCGACTCTCACGCATGAAACAATACTTGCATAGTAGTGGCGGTGGCCGTAACCATAACAACAGGACGCGGCTAGCGGCAGTGGCTCCAGCCATTATAACAAACGACACGTCTTGCACGTCTCTTCGCCCATAAGCGACACCGGCATTGTGGGTCCATATCTTACTGATGCAATAATAGATCTGA